GCCCGGGACCTGGTCCGACGGGGCGGGCCAAGTGTGTCAGGCCTGCCTGGCCGGCTGCACCGACTGCACCACGGCCACCGCCTGCACGGGCTGCATTGACCGGCACTTCCTGGCCGGGGATGGCCGGTGCATGGCCTGCGACGGGTCGTGCGCGGCGTGCGCCAGTGCCACGTCGTGCGCCGTCTGCCAGCCGGGGCTGGTGTTCCTCGCGGCGGATGAACAGGTGGCGTCCCTGTGCGGGAGCGTCTGCCTGCCGGGGCAGTATGTCGGGGCTGGCCGGTGCGCCGAGTGCGATGCCTCGTGCGAGCTGTGCGCCGGCGGTGCGGCATCGTGCACGGTCTGCGCCGAAGGCTTCGGCTGGGCGAGCCCGCCGGGCCCCGGGAGCACGGGGGCCTGCGTCCCCTGCGACCCGGGGTGTGTGTCCTGCACGGCGGACCACTGTCTGGCCTGCGGGCCGGGGCTACTGCTGACACATGGTGGCAGCTGCGTGGCCTCCTGCCCGGCTGGGTGGTGGCCCGACGGCGAGTCGTGCCAGCCGTGCGATGTCAGCTGCGGCACCTGCACCGGCGGCGATGCCGACCAGTGCACCGGGTGCGGCGCCGGGCTGGATCTCGTGGAGGCCGGCCCCGGCGTGGGGGCCTGTGTGTCCGGCTGCCCGGAGGGCGAGTACCGGGACCTTGGGTCGATGTCGTGTCGGGCCTGCGACGCGGCGTGCGCCACGTGCAACGGCCCGACCGACCGGGACTGCTGGCGGTGCAAGGATGCCCTGCTGCAGGATGGCGACTGTGTGCAGGCCTGCGCCGCCAGGCATGTGGCCCTTGCCGGGCGGTGCCTGCCCTGCCATGTGTCGTGCAGCGCGTGCACCGGGGTCCGGAGCACCGAGTGCAGTGCCTGCATCGACGACCTGCTGGCCCTGCCGGCCGGGCAGACCCCGACGCGCTGCATGGCCGCCTGCCCGACCGGGTACAATGCCTCGGCCGGCGGGTGCGCCGCCTGCCCGGAGCACTGCGCCAGCTGCCCCGAGTCGAGCGCCGTGTGCGGCCTGTGCGAGCGTGGGTGGCTGCTGGCCCGGCCGGAGTGCGTGGCCACCTGTCCGGGCGGAACCATGTCACAGGGGCCCCTTTGCATTGCCTGCCATGCATCGTGTGCGACCTGCTTCGGCTCGGGCCCGGAGCAGTGCCTAACGTGCGCGCCGGATGCTCCGCTGATGGGGGGCAGCCGTTGCTTCGCCACCTGCCCGGCGGGCACCTACCACGCCGGGGGGCTTTGCCTCCCGTGTGGGCCTACCTGTGCCTCGTGCTCGGGCCCGATGGGGGACCAGTGCACCGCCTGTGCCGGGGATCGGCTTCTGCTCGGTGGCGAGTGTCTGCTCGCCTGCCCGGGGGCCTACTTCCCGGAGGCTGGGCTCTGTGTCGAGTGTGATGCGGACTGCGCCACGTGCCAGGCCCAGGGCACCTGTACCAGTTGCCGCGAGCAGGGCATGCTGCAGCCGGGCGGGACCTGCGGCATTGGCTGCCCCGGTGGCTGGGGCGCCTGTGCCAGCTCCGGCCGGTGCGTGGCCTGCTCGGCGCACTGCGCGCAGTGCGACGCGACCGGGCCATCGTGCGACGTCACCTGCGCCGTTTGTGAGGCCGGCTTCGCCCTGTCGTCCGGGGCCTGCCAGGCCTCCTGCCCGAGCGGGGAGTTCGCCGCGCCGGGATCCGGCATCTGCCAGCCGTGTGGCGGCGCCTGCCGGAGCTGCTTCGGCGCGGCGGACCACTGCACGAGCTGCAACGGTGGCCTCCTGCACCCGGGCGTGGGCATCTGCGCGTCGGCCTGCGCCGGGGCGTCGGCCCCGGTGGCCGGCGTCTGCCTGAGCTGCTTCGCCGGGTGCGAGCAGTGCGAGGCCGGGCCCGGCCAGTCGGAGTGCACGATCCAGGCCGATGGCCAGCTGGTCTGCCCGACCGTTCGGACCTGCAAGCGGTGTGTCTCGGGGATGCTCCTGGTGGATGGCACCTCGTGCGTGGAAGTCTGCCCGGATGGCTATTTCGCGGATGCCGATGCGGAGGGCTGGTGTCGGTCTTGCCATGCGAGCTGCCGCGGGTCGTGCACCGGGCCCGAGGCGGGTGACTGCGATCGGTCGCCGAGGTCCAAGTCCTCGCGCATTGGCCTGGCCGTGGGCCTGTCGCTGGGCCTGCTGCTGCTGCTGATCCTGCTGGTGCTGCTGGTGCTGTTCCTCGTGCGCCGGCGCCGGGAGCAGGCCATCGGGAAGGCGCCGGCCGACGACGAGGACGCCACCATGTTGAACACCATCGTGGAGCTGGCCCTGCCCGGGGCCATCCTGGTGGATGTGGCCGTGGACTTCCGGGCGCTGGACGAGACCCTCGGCGCCGGGACCCAAGCGAGCGTCTATGCGGCGCAGTCGGTCGGGGCCGGGATCGCGGCCCGGCTGGGCTGCCCGGAGGTGGTGGCTGTGAAGAGGATGAAGGCCGAGGCCATGCAGCCGGTGCACCATGCCATGTTCCAGAACGAGGTGGCGCTGATGTGGCTGCTGCGCGAGCACGGCCACATCGTCCGGCTGTTCGGGTACAGCCACCAGCCGCCGGCCATCGTGATGGAGCGCTTCGACAGCGACCTGGCCACGCTGCTGCACTCGGAGGTGCAACTGTCGGCCACCCAGCTGGCGGACATCTGCCAGCAGTGGGCCGCCGGGCTGGAGGCCATGCACGCGCATGGGATCGCCCACTGCGACCTGAAGCCGGGCAATGTGTTTGTCAGCCAGACGGCTTCCTCGTGGCGCGCGGCCCTCGGGGACCTGGGCGCGTCCAAGAACCTGAGCGCCGACCGGTCGTCGGCCCTGCTGAATGCCTTCCCGGAGCTGAATGCCATGTCGGTGCCGTATGCCGGGCCGGAGGTCATCCAAGCCTTCCAGCGGAGTGTGCCCCTGGACCGGGGGCACTTCTTCCCGGCCGATGTGTACGCGGCATCGGTCATGCTCTACGAGTGTCTGACGCGCGCGGCCCCCTGGCCGGGCATGAACATCGGCGAGATCATGGCCGCGGTGCTTGGCGGCTCCCGGCCGGTGATCAGTCCTCTGGCCGGCAGCGCCGCGGACCTGGTGCAGGCCGGCTGGCAGGAGGACCCCGGTCGGCGGCCGAGCACTGCGGCCTTCCGCCAGCGCTGTGCCGCTCTGTTTGTGGCCTCCGGCGGCCTGGCCGGCCCTTGAGACGGCGATCCGACAGGCTCTCGCGCGGCGTGCATCACCCCTGGGCCGGTGTGATGGTGGTCCTCCTGACCGGGGGGGGGGGGGTCCCGGCATGGGACTACACCACCGGCGGTGAGAGCAAATAGACTGACTCTCCCCTTCGTCTGGGCATATGGATTCCCTGCTGTGAGACCCCCGCCCCTCCCCCGGAGGGGAGAGGGGGCGGCGGGGTGGAGCTGCCGTGGTGAGGGCGTGGCCGGGCCCGAAAGCCGGCCCCCTGACCGGTCGGCGGCCTGTCGGCGCGTCCCCTGTACGCGGGCTGACGCTGGTCCTCGGGCGAGGGAGCACCGGGGGGGAGGGAAGGCCACGCCTCCTGGCCGTGTGGCACTGTGGCTGGGAGTGTGTGTGTGTGTGTGTGTATGTGTGCCCGTGCTCGTGCTCGTGCTCGTGCTCGTGCTCGTGCTCGTGCTCGTGCTCGTGCTCGTGCTTGCGCTTTTGTTAGTGGGTGCGCCCCTGCACGTGTGCATCCACGCACGCGTGTCCATCCATGTGCATGTGCGCGCGGTCTAGCGTGCTTCTCCGTAGCTTGACGCTTGCATATGTCGTGGCCGTCCCTTTGTGAGAGCCGCCGTGGCGAGGCCACGCTTGGGAAGGCCACGTTTTGGATGAACCCCCGGGGAGCCTGCCACCGAGGCCACGGCGGGTGCGGCCGGCCTCGGCTCCTTTTCAGCTCCCGGGCGCAGGGGAGGGCGGCGACTTGGCTGTGCGGGTCTCCGGCATGCATGCCGCAAGCCGACGAGGTGCCTGTGGATCTTACCTGCGCCCGTGTGGCTATGGCCTTG